GTTGCAAACCGTACCCTTTGCAGACCGCACCCTTTGGCGTCACCGACCTGCAGTCCCACCTCGCGGAGCACGGCCTCGTCCGAACCGGCAAGCTGGCCAGTCTGCGGGGGCTGAGAGTCGGCGTCGACGCCGTGTTCTGGCTGCGCTCCGTGCAGAACATGAAGGATCCTTTCGCGGACGCCCTCGGGGGCATACCGCCTGGCATATTCGGGTTCTTGGACAAGGAGCTCGAGCTGTTTAGGCGCCACGAAATTCGAAGAAGAAACGTGTCATGAACATGCGCTCTCGGAGCTCCGCGCGGATTTCTTGCACCGGCGCCGGGCCCCCCTCCCCGGCGCGCGGAGCACGCCAGGGGCGGCGCCGGAGGCGCCGCCAGGGGGCCCAGCGCATGTCCAAGAAATCCGCGCGGAGCTCTGACAGTGCGTTCTTATGCCGCCCTCTCTCCTTCGGGACATCACTCCGATGTTCATCTTCCAGGGCGTGGCGCCTGGGCCGCAGAACTCCTCGTTCACCACGCGCATGGACCAGTACGCAGAGCAGGCGTGGGCCCACCTCGGCGGGGGCAGGCAGAGCGAGGCGCAGAGGTGCTTCGCCCTTTCGTCGACCCGCATCAATGGGGACTTTGTGTACTTCATCCTGAAGAAGGGAAGCGGCATGAGCACAAAACGTTCGGAAGAGGAGGAGGAGGAGGAGGAGGAGGAGGTCGTGGAGGAGGAGGAGGAGGAGGAGGAGGAGAAGGAGGAGGAGGAGGAGGAGGAGGTCGTGGAGGAGGAGGAGAGGAGGAGGAGGGAGCAGGAACAGGAGCAGGAGCAGGAGGAGGACGAGGAGGAGGAGGTTGAGGAGGAGGAGGAGGAGGAGGGGGAGGAGGAGAAGAAGCAGGAGCAGGAGCAGGAGGAGGACGAGGACGAGGACGAGGACGAGGACGAGGACGAGGAGGAGGAGGAGAAGGAGGAGGAGGAGGAGGAGGGGGGGGCGGGGGCAGGGGAGGTGGAGGGGGTGAGGGAGGGAGGGAGGACACGGAGGAGGATTTTCCTGGATCGGCTCTGGGCCCCCCTGGCGGCGCCTCCGGCGCGCTCCGCGCGCCAGGGTCTGGCACCGACGCGAGAAGTCCGCGCGGAGCTCCGAGGGTGTGTGCACTGTGCCGTTTCTTGTTCCTCGATCCTCTTCCAGCACTTGAGGCACAGGGGCTACGAGTGCCTCCAGGCACCGTACTTCGCGGGGGCGCAGCTGGCCCACTTCGCCGAGCAGGGCGTGGTGCAGGCGGTGTTCGGCCCCCCGGGGTTGCTGCTCTACGGCGTCCGGGTCGTCGCCATCAATCTGGCCTTTCATGCACAGACGTTCGACTGGGTAGAGCTCGATGACGTGCTCTGGCAGTGGAACATCAGCCAGGACCAGTTTGTGGACGCCTGCATGCTGGCGGGCACGGAGTACTGCCTCAGCTATCCGTACCTGAGAAACGCGCACTGCCAGCTCCTGGACCAACCGTGGCGATTCAACTTCGACGCGGCCGTGTCGATCATCAAGCAGGCGCCTCTGATCGACTGGATGGAGGCGTTCCCGACAGAGTGCGTGAAGAATGACTACGTCGAGAGGTACTGCATCTGCAAGGTCATCGTGCAGAACTCTCCAGTCTTTCACTTGTCGGACGGCTCGGTGCGCCCTCTCGGGTCCGCCGCTTGCAACAGCCGAGCGCCTTCCATCCCGCGCGACTTCCACGCAATTGTGGGCGAAAAGTTGCCCAACAATCTGTACGGGCTCATCCTCCAAGGCACCATATCGCACAAGTTGCCTCAGGCGCTCGCCAGGGGCGAGTGGACCGACAAGACGCAGCCGCTGGTGGACACCGCGGAGTTTCGAACCTTACTGGTCGAGCTCACGGATTACCGCGAGATCGCACTAGGCTTGATCGCGCGGCACTTGCCGAAGAAATTTCAGGAGAAGCGGGTCCTGTGCAAAGCCTTCTACGACCCGCACCCAATCCAGCAAAGTCTTCCCGGAGAGAATAACCTCATCGACGGTGCCCGCCTCATCAGGCCCAGGAGTCATTTGAACGGCTTGCGGTGGGACATCAGGACGGATGCGGTGCAGGCCGAGATGCAGCGGCAAGGGGCCGACATGGTTGATTTCAAGTTCTGCGTCACTTGGCACAGGCATGCTGTCGAACACGACGGGCCGCTGGTCAGAGGCATTACGGAAAGGGGCCTCCCGCAGTGTTCGAACGACCTGAATTCGCTGGCAGCGCTGGTCCATTTCATGGTCTTGGAGCACCTGGAGCTCATATCGGGCGAGGACGGGGGCATGACCATGCTGGAGGTCGTGCTGAGCAAAACCCCGAGGCGATTCCAGGAGCCCTGCCTGGTCGCCCTGGAGATGATGAAGTTCGGCATCCTCTCTGGGGACCCCTTCAACGCCGCAGGCCCAGAAGGGCAGTTCCCCTGGCAGGTGCAGTACCCATCAGCAGGCGTGGGCCCGACGAAGAAATCGGTGATGCTGCTCAGCCGAGCCATGTCGCTCGTGCCGATGAAGCTCAAGAAAGACATGTGGAACGCCCACGTGGAATTCGACCTTGCCGCCTTCCACTCGCTGGTGCGCATCCTCAAGCGAACGCTGAGGCAGATCGTGGAGGCGTGCTTGGCGTCGGTCTTGCTGGAGGACCTCAGTAAGCTCAAGCTGCTCCCTGCGAACTTCATGTGCGCCTCGCCCTTGAAGGACGATCACCTTGCGACGCCAGCAGTGCTGCCCACCTTCATGCTGTCAAGGGCCTGCATGGGCATCCTCGTGGTCCACTTGCTGACGTACCATGGCAGCCCCGAGAGCTTTCGGCAAGGCCTGGCCGCGAAGTTCCCTTGCTGCGTGCAGCCTCTAGAGGACCTCAGGACCGCCATCGACTTCTGGAAGGACCTGAAGCGCTGCGTGGACACCATCGCGGAGCCGCTGGGGGCTGAGGAACTGGCAAGCGACATGCAGTCGGCCACGGAGGAGCTGCAGCGCGCGCAGGACAGGCTGAGGATACGCTAGGCCGAGGCCGTGCTCTCGCCGTGCGCAGCCTCGTGGTGTAGGGCAGGTCACGCCCCGGTGGCGGCACTGCACGACGTGCACACGTTGCGGCCGGGCGGGCTTTGCTCACACAGCTTTTTGTGGAGTCGGTTTCAAGCAGTGGCGAAGCGTCCTCGCTCGCCTATAGCCCTACCAAACAATGTTCTAAGAACCTTGTGTGGTTCCCACGACATGTTCTGAGAACAGTTCTGGCTGGGTCTTGTTTTGTCACATCGGGTCTATGTTCCAAGAACATTGCTTTTGATCCTAGAACAGCTTTGGGTTCTGAGGACATTTCGTGGTAGGACTGTAGGAATGCCGGGACGGTCGGTCCCTGCTCAACGGTTCCGGAACCCCCTCCTCCAGGGCGCTTCGCGGCGCTTGAGCTCGGGGGAGCGGGCGCCGGCCCGACCTCCAAGAGTCTATGTGGTGCAGCTTGTTGCGCCTCCAGTGGAGCCCCGTCCTCATCTCGGGTGTGGCTAGAAGTGCCCCTGGCCCAAGGTGCCCCCAGGATTACCGAGGAGGCCCCCAAGGCCTCCAGAGCACCCCTCACGAGGCCCAGAGGGCCTCAGAGGCTCCAAAATGGAGCGAAAAGCTGGGGGCACCTTGGGCGCACCTTGGGCCAGGGGCACCTTTAGCAATCCCCGACAAGTGGAGCCCCTTCCTCATCCTCCCCATCCGCCTCCAGCTCGTCTTTCTGCTTTTCCTCAACGGCAGCCGTCACGCCCTCCATGCACCGGGCGAGGATGCCCGCGAGAGCTGGCCAGCCCTGTAAGAGCTTTTAGACTTGAGATTTTTGGCCAGCCCAGACGGCAAATGGCAGCAGTTTCTCGCTCTCTCTCTCTCTCTCTCTCTCTTTCTCGCTCTCTCTCTCTCTCTCTCTCTCTTTCTCTCTTTTTTTTTTTTCTCTCTCTCTCTCTCTCTCTCTCCCCCTCGAGTATCTCTCCGCGCCGCTCGCCCCCCTTCCTCGCTCTCGCACTTGCCGTCCTCACCGCCACTGGCCTGCCATCTGAGGCGCCACGGCCTTGGCCCCCCCTCGCTGAGAGTTCGCAGCCCCTCCGCTGCGGCCTTGTCAGGGCCGCGTTAGCAAGGCCGCGCTCCGGCGAGTGCCGAGTGCAGCGGCGCCTCGTCTCGTTCGCTCTTGGCGTTCGCCGCGCAGCCGCACCTGCATTTACCATTCCCAGCAGGCCGCGCATGGCGCAGGCGTCCTCCGGGTCGCCCAGGAGCCCATCCGCGTGGCCGCACCGCGGGGCCTCGGCATACAGCACCTTTCAGCTTAGGCCCTTGTCTACACCGAGGAAGAAGCAAGCGCATAAACATGAGACCATCGGCGGCCCGCGCGGATGTCCTTGATCTGCGTTGGGCCCCATTGGCGGCGCCTCTGGTGCCGCCCCTGGCGCGCTCCGCGCGCCAGGGAGGGGCATCCAGCGCCGATCCCAGAAATCCGCGCGGATCTCCGAAAGTCGATGTTAATGCCAGTGTGCTTGTTTTCTTCTTCTTCTTCTACAATGGGAACGTCCACGGACGGAGGCGACCCAAGCAGTTCAGCAGATCTTGGCACTGCGAGGGCTGCGGCCGCTCAACCTCGTAGGACCATCGTTGTGCTACTGCTTGTTTCAAGTGCGACCGCTTGCGCCGTGTGGCACACGTCCAGAAAAGAAGAAGACTCCCCAAATTGGTTCGGAGCGCGTGGACCCCAGCAGCAGGTTCTGGCACTCCCGCTGTGCAGGCCACGTGATGCAAGCCGTGTGACCACCGGAGCGCTACAGGTCACAGGACGCCCACCGCAGGGCACCGACACAGAAGGCACCAATCCTAGGGCACCACGGGGCACCAGGCATGATGGGCTGCGGTTTCGGAGACGCGAGCGCGCGAACGACTGAAAGACACTGCAGCCCCGGGAGCGCGAGAGCGACGTGATTGGAGAGGCCTGACGGCCGGTGCCGCCGACCCTGATCGAAAGGGCTAGGAGTGGGGGGAGGAAGCGGAGGAGGAGGAGGAGGAGGAGGAGGAGGAGGAGGAGGAGGAGGAGGAGGAGGAGGGCCCTGGGAGCGCGAGAGCGACGTGATTTACAGCGGGCTGGTGCACCGGGAGCGCACGGAGCGACGCGAATTCTCGAGGGGGTTTTTCAGCCTCGGGAGCACGCGCGCGTTCTGCTCTACACAGTGGGGTTTGTGGCCTCGGGGAGCGCGCCGTGCTTCGTAATTCGCGACGGGCTGTCGCTTACTTCGGGAGCGCGGATTCGCTGTGACTCACCAGGGACCCGAGCACTTTCTTTCTGGGTGGAGGGCGAGGGGTGACATCTGAAGTGCTGTTTCGAGGGAGGCTCGAGGCCTGCATCTGCAAAAGGCGACTCACAACCCTGACTCCTGATCCGCCCTACTTTGGGCGATTTCGAAAGTAGGGCGGAAATTTCCGCCCTACTTTTGAGGCCCCTTTGAGCGTCGATTTCCGCCCTTGAGGCTCCTTTGGCGTCGATTTCCGATACAATTTTAGGTCGGAAAATCATCCAAAGTACGGCGGATCAGGAGCCAGGGAAGACGGATTGATCTTCGAGGTTCAAACGCCCGTGTGGATTTCACCCTGCGCCCTCCGCCCTAAGAAAATCCCCAGGGGACTGTGGCCCCGGGAGCGCGAGGTGCCTCGTGCCTCACGTGGGGCCCCGTGGCCTCGGGGGCGCAGCGCCGTCGCCTCTTGGCGCCCTGCGGGCGTGGCCTCCGGGGGTGCGCGTCCGCTGCGGTGCTCTCGGGAAGGTCCCGGCGCCCCCGGATTCTCCTCCTCCTCCTCCTCCTCCTCCTCCTCCTCCTCCTCCTCCCCCTCCTCCTCCTCCTCCTCCTCCTCCTCCTCCTCCTCCTCCTCCTCTTCCTCCTCCTCCTCCTCCTCCTCCTCCTCCTCCTCCTCCTCCTCCTCCTCCTCCTCCTCAGGGCATTCCGAGCACGCGGTCCTGGGCCCTGGCAGCGAGACGCGCTTCGGGCTTCGGGGCCCCCGCGCGTGCCGCAGTACGCTGCAGTACGGGGAGCCAGGGCTTCGGGCTTCGGGGATATTCGAGCTGTGGCTGGAAGCGGAAGCACCTGGCCCTCGCATGTTGTCGGCCCCGAAGGGGCAGGCGGATGTTGGAAAGCGGGGGACAGAGAGAGAGGCACGAAGAAACAGAGAAGGGCAGAGAGAGAGAGAGAGACGAGATGTAAGAGTTGCGAGTTGACAGGTGACATATGACTTGTGGGGTATGCTATGATAGATCATGTATGTGTGTACGTATGTATATATATATATATATAGAGAGAGAGAGAGAACGAAAACCAAACACTGAAGAGACGATATCGCTGAGGTGCGGCATGATATATGGATTTGTAAATGTAAACAGACATGTTCATATAATATGTGCGTGCGCGTGTGTATACACAGCCGAGGTGATATAATCGAGGTATGGAATTCTGTACATACATGCATAGATACATACATGGATACATGCATAAATACATGCATACATACATACATACCTACATACATACATACATGCATACATACATACATACACACATACACATACATACATACATACATACATACATACATACATACATACATACATACATACATACATACATATATCCACCCATGCATACAAACATACATACATACATACATATATGCATACATACATGCATGCATGCATGCATGCATGCATGCATACATACATACATTCATACATACATACATACATACAAACATACATACATACATACATACATACATACACACGCACATACATACATACATACATACACACATACATACACGCATGCATGCATGCATGCATGCATACATACATACATATATATATGTGATTGTGATTGGGATGTGACATCGTAGGTCGAGAGATGGGCGATGGGAGCGAGAGAGAGAGAGAGAGACAGAGAGATATTGACAGAGAGGTAGAGAGATAAAGACACAGAGAGAGATATAGAGATAGACAGACAAAAGAGAGAATACTAACGCAACAGTTCGGGCGGAGTGTCCGTCCGGGCGCGCAGGGTACAAGCGCCCGCCGCGCCCACCTCGCGTGGCGGGACGTGTTGCTTGTGCGGTGACGGGTGGGGAGACTACCCTCCCCCCTGGCGCGGTCCGTGGGGTCCCCGACTGGAAAGCAGAGACGGGAGATGGTGATGAGGGCGAGGCTCGCCCCTTCTGCACACCCGCAAACAGGGAGACGCCGGCTGCACACGCTTTGGCATGCGTGATACGGCGCCCAGACACCGGCGGCGCCACCTTGGGGCATCCCCCGAGGCGGCCCAGAAGGAGGGCAACGGAACAGGAGCCAATAGTACGCGAAAACCATTGGGAGGGAAGGGCGCTAGCACTGGTGCGCCGCGAATTTCAGCGGCAAGGAGAGCACGCAGGTCATTCTGGACGGACGCCCCGAGGGAAGCGGCAGGTCGGAAAGGCCATTCCAGGCAGCTTGTGTTCGGCGAGCCCTGTCTAGCAGAGGGGCTGCCTGTTCTTGGATGTACTGAAGAGACTGTGCGAGGTGGTTGGCCCGCCGATCCAGCGCGTCGATGCTAGCGATGAGGGCCGTTTCGCGGTCACCTTCTGGATGCCGAGTGGCCAGTGAGAGGGGTTGCGTGAGAGATTGTCTACGGTCGGTTCGCTGGGATTCCGTAGCATCCAGCCTTGCTGCGATGGCAATCCTTGGCCGTTCGCTGCTCCCCGCACCACGGAAGGATGAGGGGCTGGCCTGGTGGTGATGGGGATCGGGGCGGCCTGATGTTGTTGATCGTGGACTGCTTGCACATGCCCGTCGGAGAGTCTTGGTTGACGCGCGCCGCGGTGATCGTCGTGGTCGCTGTGGTCGTCTCCGCCGTGACTGTGGGAGGGAGGAGAGCGGGCTCCCTCGGCATCGTTTGAAGAAGCGCCTGGCCCAAGCGGTCCAGTTCATCGCCGTCCAAGTCGTCGAGCATGCCCGGCCAGGCATCAGCGACGTG